TGCAAACCAGCCAGACTGAGAAAGGCATTGCACTCTTAGAGCAGCATATGGCGTATTCGTGACAGCTGATGCTGACAAAGGAACAGAGCTGAGTGGTGACATCCCAGACACTTGGCACAGTGTCACTCGTGCTGTATCAAGAGGTTGGAGAGGCAGAGTTAAAGGGTACTTACAGGACTCTTCAGATTTCCCGCTTAGTGCAGGAATCCTTTCTACGACAGGCCTGAGGACATCTTGCTTCCACTTCCCTAATTCAGCAAACATGGCACTCGCTACCCATAAGGTGACCTGCCCTCTGTGTTGTTGGGTGGCTAACCTGCTTTTCTAGGGGAAGGTGACAGAAATCTGCTCCCTGCAGGCATAACCCATGGCGGCTAGTTCTACTTTCACAAGGAACGTGAAAGACGGCGCTTTCTACCTCACGTCACTTCAGGGTATGAAGGCAGCCCTCATGTCTCCCCAGAGTCCTCTCTTCTGATGTAGCCTCCCAGTTCCTCAGAGCTTCCAGGCTTCCAGGCCTTTGACATCCTCACACACTACACACCACTGGACATTTCCTCAGTTATTAAAATTTAGCACTGTGCTGCTCAGCGCCCTGAGAAACCAACAGGCCAAATCTGTGTCTACAGCTTTGTTAAAGTCAAACAGGGATCCAGAGATGCTCTGTGGTTTATAAAAAGCCAACAAACAAAACATACACTTTTCTCTTGGTTAGATGGCTTCGTTACCAGCTCAAGGCATCCACTAGTGACAAACGAGTTTCTGAATTGCTTTTACACCAGAAACTCTTTCAACAGTTAGTTCATCTTCCAAAACTCCTACTGATGGTGCCATCCTCAACTTGTCTTTTTTAAAATATTGTTTATTAGAGAGACAAAGAGAGAGAGAGAGACAGAATCCCCAACAAGGTATTGACACCATGATTCACCCTCAGTCATAGCCAAACTCAGATGGTGGGCATGCCTGTGCCCAGTGGTCTCTGGATATGAACTTGGAGCCACCAGCCCCCCAGCCTGGGTTAGCCTCACAGAGCTTTGCATTCAAGGGCTGTGCCACTGTCTGGCCCTAGGTTGTCTCTGATGTTTCTCTGAAGTCAGTGACTTTAATAAAAGTGGCTTCTTTTGCCACCTTCCTGAGTTGGGGGAGCATGGTGGCTTCTCTCTTGTAATTTTTGTTTATTTTCTTTTGTTTTTTGTTTTCATTCACTATAGGGTGCATGAGCTTGCTGGAGAGAGACAGAAAGTGAAAGAGAGGGAAAGTGAGAAAACAGCCCCCAGGGGGAATGGCCACTGCAAACCCTTCTCCTCCATTCTCCTCTTGGGATGTTTTGGCACGCACACAAACACGCACGTGTTTTCCAAGCCACGGGGTCCAGGACTTGAATCCCGCAGTCAGCCACGTGGCATCGCACCACCACACCACCCTTCGTCTGCTGCTCTCCTGTTTTATGTCCTACGTAATCTTTGGGTATCATTGAGAATGTCCTGTTCCTCTAAGAAGATCCCTGTCCTCCTTTGCTTTAACATCAGGTCCAAAGTCCTATAGACTTGAGTTTGAATTCTAAGCCTATCCCTCAGGAACGGTGTGACAAAATCTGTTGGTCTCAGTATCATAATTTAAAAAAATGGACATATTAATAGTGCTGTTGATACCAAATGCTAAGTGAATGCCTGATACATGCTAACTGCTTAGTAAATGTTTGTTGTTGTCGTCGTCAATCGTTTGTTGCTCTGACGTGTCTACTCCTGGGCTGTCATGATTCCTTTCATACGGCCCTATATCTCCCAGGATCCTTCGCTCCAGAGTATACCCATTTCTTTAGCTGACAAAACAGACACTTTCTCTTCTGTTGCTGGTGCCTCCACAGTGTCTGTGGCTTTGGTATAAAGCATCAGGTAGACATATATCCTCCTCAGTATGTTTTTTCTCTCCTCTAATATGTAGGGTTCCAACACCAAAACACTCCTTGGTGGACATAGTAACAGCTGTATTTATTCACTGTTTCGCGGCCAAGGGGGTCTGCGATGTGGCTTCTAAACTGAATAAGTGACTATCAGTTAATCCCCACAGAAGTCCAGCAAATCTATCCATTCATCATGTCATCCATAGGATCAGAGTCACCAGGCTAGAAGGTGGCCCAGACCTCCTGTGGCTGTCCCTTTCAGCCATTGCCTGAGTTAGTCCCAGATTTTAATATGGATAAGAATCATCGAGGATTGGGTTGGCCCCATGGTCTGGTGGTTGAATGAACCAGATTCCACATAATTGACCGTACAATTCAAATCCTGATCCAGTGTCTTGAAAAACATGCCAACATGGGTGCGTACATGCCTGAAACCCTGATGGAATAGAGCACTGAAGGAGGGCTTGCAGCATGGCTATCCTTCACTGGAGGGAGGGTTTTTTCTCTTTCTGTGGCTATTGACTATTGATTACTGAAATATGGATACAATTCTAATTCTTCTTCTTCTTTTTTTTAATTTGCCAGAGGATGTGTGTACTTGCCAGAGAGAGACAGAGAAAAGACACCCTATCCCCCTGCAATGTGATCTGTCTAAAGAAAACAATTTCTATAGCCTGATTTCTCAAACGCAGCAGAAAATCATTTCTTTAGGAGACATCCATATTATATGGATATGTGGCTGTAAAATAAAACTCCATGGCAGTGGAGACAAAGAATAATCAAGAAACAGTCAGATCATTATTGAGCACCTACTGCTTTCTCAGCTCTGGACTGAGCCCAGTGAGTGTTACAATTATCCTAGTTCTCAAGGAATTTACAATAAATCAGTACTAAATAATGTTACCAACACGGCGTGTGGTATCCATGGAACGAATCTGGAGAGGATTCTTAAGTTTGTGCTTATGGCTGGGAATTCATTTTGTAGTTTCCCTGAATTGCTACCAAGTCACAAACACTCCTGTTCTTATTGCTCCATAACTCCTTGGACACATGGCAGGCGGCCCCAGGAGTTATCTGGCCACTCGACTGAAGATTCCTTTGTGTACACACACGGACTCATCCAGTGCTGGTCTTGCTCACTGGGGAAACTTGGATGAGATAGGAAAGTATAAATCTTGGACCCAGACGATGAGACCATTTAATCACTTGCTCAAAAATGTATTTTCAGATATAGGCCCTCCCTGCTTAGTGTCATAGATTATTAAAAAAAAAAAAAAAAAAAAAAAAAAAAAAGAGAGAGAGAGAGAGAAAGAACACATGGCTGGTGAAAAAAACTAAGCCTTGAACTCAGGTGGCATGGAGGTTAAGGTGCTGAATTCCACATGGCTGGTGACATGGTTCAAGCCCTGGAGCTGACTCTTGAAAAATCGCACAGGATGCATGTGCATGTATGTCCAAAATCCCAAGAGCAGACCAGAAAAGAGGAGACTGTGCCATGGGCATCGACCCTGGGAGGGGATTTCACTCTCTCTCTCTCTCTCTCTGTCTCTCTGGTGAGCACATGTGCCCTATAGCAACAACTAAAATGAACAAGAAAAACTAAGCCTTAAGTCCTTTTAAGTAGGTTGCTTTATGCCATCAAAGTCCGATTGTCATTGGGGCTGTGAATGTACACTACTATAATCAAAGAAGAAGTGACACAAAAATCCTAAAGACACATATCAAAACTTTTCTCTTTGGTGTTAAAGGGACAGTCACTTCGTAAAGCTACCAAGTACTACACAGACCCCTTGAGACAGAGCAGGAAGAGGGAGACCCTACTTCTATTCAAATTGCCCTCCTAATTAGAAAAAACATGAAACGTTTGCTTTATAATATCTCTGTGATGAGAAACCATTGCCTTAATCCTCAAACCCAACTTTACGGGGCACTGGCTTTCTAGCTGAACACCTGGACAGCTGTATTTTCTGATTGGTAGAAACTAGACAGTTCACAAAATCCTGAGCAATCCGGAGAAACGCGGTCATGATTTAGTCTTATTTTTAAATGTCTACTACCCAGTAGTGCAATTTCTCAAAGATAAACACCTATGTGTGCATATACCATAAATCAAAGAGATCAGGCAGAGTACTGTGAGTATACAGCTGGTCACAGCTGTAAAATAAAACTGCTCATTCTGGGCCTTTTCTCACATGTCGGCAGTCCAGAAATACTCATGGAATCTGTCAGAAATATTTCTGTTATGAATTTGGTTAGAACTGTGGCGTGGAGGAGATAAACGTAAAATCACCAAAGTCCACTGATGCTTGGGAATAGAGCATCTATCTTTGAGAAACGCCAGTTGGCCTGGTCTTTCTATTACCTGTCCATCTGGCTAGTGGACAGAGAGGAGGATGAGAGAAACTTTCTCTGAACATTCTCTTTTTCTCTCAAATCATGCCCGTGACAGGGTGTTGGCTAGTCTCTCTGGCTAAAGGAAAGTCCCTAATCATGCCACTGCATTGCCCAGTGACAAATTACTAGACATATACTTGTCTCAAATGTACCAAAGGATGAAAGTGGTTACAACAATGCTGATTCTCCAGTTCCTCTGACAACATGAACCCTGACTCTGCCTATTCTCATTAACACCACTCAGGGGCTCCATTTATAAACGCAACGTGACTCCCATGAAATCAACACGCCCTCTCTATACTTAAAGGGTGACTGAAGTGATTTCTTTTTTCATGGCAGGCCTCCTTTGTAAGAGGATTTTTTTAAAGTCCATGCTAGTCAGTCAGTCCCTTAGGGATGGCCTGAACAGCCATAATGAGGGCAGACTGGCATCTGCTGAGGAATGTGCAAACCTGCCTGCATCTGCCTCCTTTCTGAGCTGGGGTCTCTGGGCATTTCAGCAGTTGTTCTGAAGGCTTGGGGTGTTTATCTCCCACAGGCAGCTGAGCTGCCTCCCGTTTCATGAGCAGAGGAGTGGAATGCAAGGGAAGAGACCCAGCTCCGGCCACCCAGAGGAGAGAGTTTCGTGCTGAGGTCCCTATATGGTTGTGTTAGACTGGACGAAGGGCTCAAGTCTGTCTTTGTTCCTTGTTTGGGAAGCGAGTGGGAGGGGAGCAGGCCAAGGGGCTATATAACCCTCAGCCTTCAGCTCCCCCGAACACACCCAGAGTGGAGAAGCCCAGCCGAGCACTGTCAGGGTAAGTGGCACCAGCCCAGGGATGCGACTTCCAGATTCCAGCAGCCCTGTTACTCCCCATTGTAATCAGACATTGTCTGCAGGGATTTGGCTAAGCTCACCTACTCTGATATTTATGAATGGAGAGTGTAGTAGTGAGCGATTGTAGCTTTCAGCACTAGTAATTGGACAATAAAGGCGAGGCTAACACACAGCGTGGTGTGCTGGAAGAAGTGGAGAGGAAAATGGAGCCAAACTGTATTCGTGCATGTCACCTGTGAAATCTGCTTATGCTAAGCCAACAGTCCAGCCTGGCAGCGTATTCCAGGGATGTAGCCCAGCTGTTCGCAGTAAGCAATGCTTCTGTTTGTATTTCGGCACTGGAAACTCTGAGATCTGCTCGTGGTTCAGATTTGGTGTGGGGATCTTTCACGGGACTGTATTTTTCGTGCAGCTGACATGTCTGGAAGTGGATTTTAGAAGTGAAGAGAGGGCTATTGTCCAGTTTTGTGTTTTCGCTGAATTCATGTATAGTATTTACTTCTGGGTTCTCCGGGTTCTAAGTGGTAGTGCCTGATGTTGCAAATATCTCTCACGGGTATCTGTGGCGCTTACGTGTTAGCATCTGTAGCTTCGGTCACTTGCAGCAGAGCGTAGCAGGCGGCCAGCTGAATCTTTCTCTGCAAAGGAGGCAACAGAGAGCAGAGCTTGCATCTGACAGCTGTGTGTGTCTCTAGGCCACAGGATGTCTGGTTTGCATTTCCCTGAGCTTACAGCTCTGCTCAGCCTGGTAAGGGAGCGTGACGGCAGAACCAGCCCTGCCACCCCAGGCTGAACTTTGCTGCGAATCAGGGATTGGCAGCGTCAGCCTGAACTGGAGTTTCCACTCTGAGTTTTTCCTTGCATTTTTTGATTCATGACTAAATATGGTTCGCGCTAGGAAACCAGCAAGCTGGGAAGTGCAAACGCTCCTTCCTCCCTCCCCTCCTGCTAACTACTCCAACTTGGCAGGAGATGCACTCTGGTCTGCTGGAGCAAACCCCCTGACCCTGTGCAGTTCCAAAAGCAGACATTCGAGCATGTTTTACCTAATTAGGAAATGCTCGCTCCAAACTGAGCTGCTCATTCAGGTTAGATAAAAGAGTCGTAAACCCAGAGTCAGTTTTTTTCCAGGGGCACAGAGACTTCTCTGAAGACGGTGCTTGTTTTAGAAACGACAAGGTTATTCCTGAATAATATTTTGCCAAATATAAATATATTTAATGAATTTTGAGATTTTTCCCCCCCCCTGTGCCTTCTTGCTGTTGCTGAGGGTTAGCTTATTTTTCTGACTATATTCAAACACTCTTCCCGAACTGTTGCTGTCCAATAAACAGGTTACTGGAGGCAGCCTGTATTCACGGTGGCTATACTCCCCCATTTTTAGAAATCATCCTAATTTCACATGTTTTCTTGTTTTCAGCCCTTAATTTGGATTTGGTAAATTTGTTTAGCACATCCACAGGGAGCTTGCTCATCCCTGGTGCTAGAACCATCCCAGATTCTGTTTGGTCTGTTTCATCTGCCATACAGTTCTTTTTTTTTTTTTTTTAAAGTTTATTTATCTGCTTCTTCCACAGGCAAAAGAGATACACACAGAGAGAGATAGTACCCCCAACAGGGTCCTGACACTACAGTCCACCCCAGTCCCAGCCAGACCTGGATCATGGGGACATGCAAGCTTGTATTCGGGAAGGTCTCCAGACTCGAACCTGGAACCTCCCATGCTGATCAACTGCACAGAGCATTGCCTTTTACTGCTGTCAAGCCCCTATAATGCTCACAGCTCTTCAAATTTCTTTTTTTTAATAAAGTTTTATTTTATTTAGAGAGAGATAGAGAGGCATCATTAACAGGTTGTCAGACTTTGAGTCCCTTCCCCTGCCTCCAGGTCATCCAGGTCTCGGGAGCGTGCACCGGCATGTCTCAGGGTGACTCAGGAGCCAAACATGGCCGTCAGCGACGTGGCTCTCATCGATGCGCTACCTCCGGAGCTTCTGAGTCTGGCTCCGGACAGGAGTGTCAACCATAACTTAGTGTCTGGGCAGGGAAGGGAGCAGTGGAAGGGGAAAGGCAATCGAGCTCTACCTTCCATTTTTTATTCTTGCCAATGGGATTCACAAGTTGGGGATTTTCATTCAAGCCTGGAATCAGTGTGGGAGAAGAGCAAAAATTAGAAATGAAAAGATCTGGATGATGACAATAATCAGATAACGGTTTTAATAAAGTCGATGATAGGGGCCAGCAGGTGGTGTGGTGGTTAAGGTGCTGAACACCCACATGGCCAACTGCGGTTGATATCCCAGTCCGGATGGCTTGCTTTCTCACTTTCTCTTTCTCTCTGTCTGTCTCTGGTCCATTTAAAAAATAAATTATAATAAAACATAAAATTAAATAAATAATTCTTTTAAAAGATAATGTTGATGATGAAACTAACATTTACCAAGAACCTACAATGCAGATGCCACTGTAAATGATTTTAAATGTTTTAAAAAATCTAATCTCTCTAAGAAACTGAAGTATGTGCCTATATTATTGCTGTTAAGAAACTATGATATAAAGAAGTCAAATAATTTGCCCAATCACGGCTTCTAAGTGGTGGAACCTGGACTCACATTCAGGCCATCTGGCCCCAGAGTCCCAGCTCATAATCTCTGTACTATGTAGACTCCATTGTCCTAAATTTCTCAGTTTGGGGATCTTGGACAAGTCACTTCAACTCTCTGAGTCTTGGTTTCCTTGTCCATCAGTTGGAGAAAATATTAAATGTATTAAATATCTTGATTTTCGAATGTACCTTCTCAGTTGTTTCTGTTCCTTGGGAAGGGTTATAACACGTGAGGGCCTGTACCGCACGTTCTCGGCATTTGGGAGGATGCAGCGTGATTTCGTGGGGTTAGTCTGGCAGAACTCCAACTGTAGTAGCTAGTTTTTTCCCTACTTCCTGGAACATTTGTAAAGAGAATTGTATGACTAGGTCTGGATGTGCAGTAAGTTCCCCAATTTGAGAAATCGTTCTCAGGCCAGCTGTGGTGTGGTGGTTAAGGTGACTGAATCTCACCTCACTGCCTGTTCAATTTGAGACCCAGAACTGGTGGTTTGAGAAACACTCTGGGCGTGTGTGTGTGTGTGTGTGTGTGTGTGTGTGTGTGCCCAAAATTCCAAAGGGAGAGGGGGATGGAGAAGGGATTCAGGTGTGATCGAGAGGGATGGAGAAGGGATTCAGGTGTGATGTGATCATTCGGTGGCGGTGCTGGCGGGTGCTTTCTCTCTTTTTCACTCTCTCTTTCTGGCAAACACATATACCTTCTGGCACATTTTTTTTTTAAATTAAGAGTCCTTCTCAACTTGAAATCCTGAGATAACAACGCAAGGCAGAGAGCTTTGGCTGTCCTCTTTACAGAATATTTCCACCTAATCTGCCTGCAGAGAGCCCTAGATTGGAAGCTAAGGGTAGGAAGGAGTAGCCAAGAGGCTGGAGTTCTGTATCCAATGCTTGCTGTGAGCTCTTGAACAAATCACTTTCCTTGGGTTTCTCAGATGTAAAGATAAGCACTGAATGAAAATATCCTCTAATCGGCCTTTAGTTTCTAAGATTTGTAAGTCTATATTTTTGCTTCAATCTTTTAAATTTTGTCAAAGAGGCCAAGATTAAAAGTGATTATTTAAATGATTTTTTCATTATCAAGGAAATGTCTAATTTAGAAAATATGACAGAACCCAGGGAAAGATCATTAAAAACACCTGCAAAACACATCCCTTCAAAATAACCCCTGTCAACATCAAGGTAAATATGATTCATCTTTTTGCAATGCATAGAAATACACTTTTAAATGGGATCATGCAATGTTACTTTCTCTAACCCATTGCTCTTACATAAGAAGAAAACTGTAGCCTCTCCTTTCACTTATCTTAATGGAGCAGAATATTTTACTACAGGGTGTGGACTTCGTCATATTCGCCTTTGCTTGTTCAACTTCTAGCTTAACAATGACTTTTATGAATGGAGGGTAATCACGACTGCTAAAATTTACAGAACTTACTCAGCAAGTTTTAATTCATTTGAACATTTCTCTGAGGCTGAAAGTCCTCAATAACCAAAAGAGATTTTTCATTCTTTTTTTTTTTTTAAGAGAGTTTTTTCTATAGGGCATGTGTGCTCACTGGAGAGACAGAGAAAGAGAGACAAAAAGCAAGAAATCACCCTCCAAGAGGACAGCCATGCTACAATCCATTTTCCTCTGTTCTTCTCTCAGGATCTCAGGATCTTGGGTACACACACACATGCCCAGCGTGAGTTTCAAGCCACCAGGTCCGGGACTCAAACTGCAGTCGACTATGTGGGAGTCCGGTCACATAACAATTAGGCCATCTTCTGGTCCCTTAACCACCAGCCATGGGGCTGACCCAAACACTTAATCATTTTAACATCTCTAAATTTTTACATACATTCCATTCCTCAAATCCACCTTTTAATTTTTTTTTAAGTTATAACATATCTAGAAAAATGGGAATCTGGGTTAAACTAGACAGAAATTTTAGACACTTCTTCAACATGTGGTTAGTAACTTGTCCCTTGAAAGATCTGGTTTCACAATGCTGAAATTCCCATTTCCGCTCTAGGCTTGCTCATTCATGCACTGGCTTGGTCCATCTCTGAGTGCTTGGGAGAACTCGCCATATGCCAGTCAGTCTCTGTGCTAGGGCCGCTGTATAACTGTGACAGCCAGCTTCAGCTCATCAAAGTGTACAGTCTAGTTACAAAGTACTTCAAGAAAAATGCTGTGTTACAAGGTTATGGGAGGGCTCTCTGGGAAGAGAGGAGCCCCAGACCCAGCCTGGAGGTAGACGTGGCAGGGTGAGGGCCACAGCTGCTCACTACAACTGGGCTGCTTCCTCCCTGTGTTCTGCAGAACCGTGTGAAGCAGCTCCCACCATGTGTGAAGAAGAGGACAGCACTGCCCTGGTGTGTGACAATGGCTCTGGGCTCTGCAAGGCTGGTTTTGCTGGGGACGATGCTCCCAGGGCTGTTTTCCCATCCATTGTGGGACGTCCCAGACACCAGGTGAGCAAAATTCTGATTGCAACAGAGGGAGAATGGGGCTAGAGCCAGATCCCTCTATGCCCATGTGTAGCCACAGGTTGTCATGCTCTGCACCGACATTATATAACCTTGTTAAAATTATCCCTGGTGTGGTGGACATTCAAGAGTGAATGCCGATTTTGTATGAGGCAGATTCTACGATGTGTAACTGTCAGGTAGAAGTCTGCCCTTTTGTCCTATACTCTTCTATATTCCTCTTCTATCTAAACACAGTCATTGTCGTCATGATGACTACCGTGACGTCATCGGTCATCATCATCAGAAATACTTATAATTTATCTTTTATATTTATTAGATCAACAGAAAAGTCATGGTGCATTTTTGTATAGAAAAAAATACATGCTGGCTTTTCTGGCAAACCAACATAATTTATTCCACAGTTACTTTTTTGAAGAGAAACTGAAATAAAGGCTGAGGTCACTCGACCTTGTAGAACTTGATGCTTGATGAAAGTCAGCATTCATACCAAATGTAATTTTATATAATGTCAGCTGTCAACAAAATCTATCTGGACAGTCATAAGGTACTTTCACATATTATGTATAGACAAAATATTGGTGGCAGCCACATGATAAAAACTGGGTAATTTCACCTCAGAAATTCTCCTTCACATCAAAAATGTATCATGTGCCTTGAGCCAGTCTGATTGATGCGTATGGCTCTCAGCTTGGCCTACACTGACAAGAATAAGTAATACGAGCCCCGTCTAAGGGGTAAAATCTGTCTTTTTGTTAAACTCGGTACAGTGGAGATACTTTTTGCAGATCTGAAGTAGCCATGGATGTTTCACCACTCTAAAGCAGCCACTGCAGTGCAATCTAAAATCGAGTGATGAGAATTTTAAGCTTCACCTTAATCATTTTTTAAGAATGCAGCTGATCAGTTTAAGTGAATGTCTTAATAGTTGATTGATAGGGGTTTGTCCATTAGAATCAGGTTTTGAGTGGTTGTTTATAGAGGTAATGTTTTTGTTTGTATTGCTTAGAAAACAGCGGTCATATACGTTGGGTAGGTTAACAACTTTAATAGTACAGTTGAAAGAGTTTAGGAGAGGAAGAATGCCATTTACCTAATACATAAAACCACATACATTCTTTTGATGAGTAGTTATTGAGTGCCAAATAGGTGCCAGGCGATTCGCTCCAGTGGGGAACAAGGCAGCCATGGTCTGTGCTCTGCCAGAGCTCTTAGGAAATGTAGAAGATAAAGCACCATGGAAACACGCCTCTCCCACACATCCCCTCATACCTGGGTGACTCAGGGCTGTTTCCAATGAACCGAGAGATGCTGCTTCGGAGCACAGTGACAGTGAGACCCATTATGTTGTTGCTGATGCCAAAAGAGGACCTTTCCACCAAAATGATTTAACCCTTTGTGATCTGATTGTCATCAATTCACGAGTTTCAGGAGAGGCTGACTCATCATATGTTGAACATTTTCAGGGGGTGATGGTGGGAATGGGACAAAAAGACAGCTACGTAGGTGATGAAGCACAGAGCAAAAGAGGAATCCTGACCTTGAAGTACCCAATAGAACACGGCATCATCACCAACTGGGATGACATGGAAAAGGTACCGGAAGCTATGCTGCGGGTTGAGCCCTGGGACTGCACAATCCCTGCAACCTCTCAGTCAACATCAAGCTTCTCCTGGGGGGAGAGAACTGGCTTCGTGGTTCACTTGTATTTTTACTTGTTAATGCTTATTCTGAGTTATTTCTCACTAGGAAAAAAATCCTGAAATGTTTCCTTAAGGGAAAAAAAAGTCCCTTGCCTCCCAGGGTTTATGAACTAATTAGAGGCAGTTTGTACACTTGAAGAGTAGCCCATTGCCAGTGGTGGGAATGAATAGTCTAGTTTCCTGTTGCTCAGTGTTGACTGGATGACCCGCCGAGGACGAGCATGGAATGAACTGCAGCCCAGAGGAAAATCTGCCTTTTGGTTCTGTCAGAGGCTATGTGGCTATCCCTTTACTGCAATATGGCTGAAGAGCATTGGAAAGTGGGGAATGGTCTTAAGCAACTCGCCCTTGAATGCTTTCTTGAATTCATTAACTCACCCTGAATATTAATAAAATAACTTTTATTTTAGCTTTCACTATAGAACAAAGGAATGTGAAGAGTGAATTTGGCATATTGCTGAAAAGTCCCCCACGTATTGAAGCACAATAGCGACTAACACAAGTTTTTAAACAAAGTTTTAGAAAAAGATCTTGCTGTGCTTCATGAAGTGAGGCCTCATCTGTGAGACTCTTATAAAGGGCTAGTGGAAAGAGTTAAACCTAGGATTTTTTTTTAACTTTATTTCTTTATTTACTTATTTTATTTTGACCAGAGAGAGGGAGAGAGAGAGAGAGAAAGTGAAAGCAAGCTGCCAGGTCTGGGACTTGAACTGTGGTTTGTCATGTGGGAATCCAGCACTCTTAACCATTACGCCACCTGCCAGGCCCAAACCTAGGATCTTGATGTTTATTATCAGGTATGCTGATAAAAAAAAAGCATACAGAATGAAGAGAAAGTGACATAAAATTTTTAAAATGCAGCAAAATATATTAGAACCACAATAGCTGGCCTTTTCATTATTTCTCAGCTCACTTCTCTCCTATCTCTCTCATGGGTTTGAAGAAAAACATACTGTGGCAAGAATTTATCAGTAATGATTATTTTTTTAAAGGGTGAGAAAGCAAACCACCAGATCCTGGACTTGATCTGTGGTTGACTATGTGGGAGTCCAACACCTTAACCACTACGTCACCTGCTGGCCTATAAGTAATAATTCTTGAACCTCTATATCTTAACAAAAGAGTTGCATAGCGTTAGGTTCACTTTGTCTAACATACAGTTTGCACTGAGGAGGAGATATTAATGTCTGTAGGAAAACACTCCTTAAGAGTTTCTGTATTGTGCGGACAGCATCTCAGAGTGTACGCTCCTGAGGCTGGCACCCTGGCCTAGCAGTTAAGGGAGCCAAATCGCACTTGGCCCACCACCCTGTTGGAATTACACCCAAGACAGCTTGAAAAGCACACCAGGTACATGTGCGTGTGGCCCCAAATCCTGACAGGATAAAGAAATACGGGAGAGGTAATTATAGCAAGACCATGTTTTACGGCAGGAGCTATCTCCTCCCTGCTTTCTATCTCTCCCTGGTGAGCACAAGTGCCCTCTAGAATTTTTTTTTTTTAATAAAAAGGAGCCAGCAGGTAACATGTGCTTAAGGCGCTGGATCCCCCACGGCTGACTGCACAGCTCAAGTACCAGATCCAGCAGCTTTAAAAACACTCCACGGACGTATGTGTGCCTGGATGCCTAAAATCCCAAAAAAAGAAATGGTAGAGCAGGGATTGTGGTGTGGCCATCCCCCATGGGGGTGCTTTTTCACTTTCTCTATTTCTCTGTCTCTCTCTAGCAAGTGCATGCGCCCTCTGGCATAAAAACAAAATATGTTCCTGAAGAGAGATTATGGAAATTAAGAAAAGTCTTTATGTCTGAAATTTAAATTCAAAGTATCTTTTAAGGGTAGAAGAAAGGATTGGCTGTTTCTAAAATGATGGTTCAGGGTAACCGCAGCGTGCGGTATGACTGGCAGGATTTCTTAAGCACTCTGCGATTTCCACTCCATCAAAGGAGCAGAGGTTTCAGGAGTCTCGTTTCCTTTCTAGAAACCCCAAACTGAAAACCAGAGACCTGGGAACAACCTCATCTTTCACCGTTTCTCTTGCTTTTATCCATTTGTAAACATTCGCCAGCACTTTTTACTTTGTTATGTTTCAATTCCAGGCGAATCTCATATGCCTGGTGCTGGTGGAGAACTTTTTATGCTTTTAAAGATGATTTGTTTAACCCCTTTGACAAGACTTGGTTTTGAGAGGACGTCCAGGGGTTAAAGACAGTGCTCAACCGTAAAGCAGAATTGTTTATGTCCAAAGTGCGTTCCCTCATACATGCTATGTGCAGGCACTGGCTTCTGTGGAGACCCCTGAAGGCCAATGCCCGGCCCTGAGGGGAGGTCAGGAAGGTATGAGGGGAGCAGGCGTCTTCCAGGCCTGGAGAGCTGAGTGATGGAAGCGGGAGGCTGGAGGTTTGTTTTTCCCCCACATGTACACTGAGAGGGGCAATTTCTCTTAGCAACATAAACATGGTCATTGGCGTTCAGGTCAGCTTCATATGGTCCTTCACACACGCATTCATGTGTCCTTTTATGTACAAAATGAAATCATTTTTATCTGAATATTAACTAACACAAAGCCAAGAGGTGGATAATATATAGACAATAAGAAAAATTTTAATCATAGATACGTAAAAAGAAGTTGTAAAAGCCAGGCATGGTTGAATAGTAACTCTGGGGTTATCTTAGCTAGCTCACACAAAAAGCCAATAAGATACATGGTCATCACTCTCACCTCCCACCCCTTGTCACCAGTGACGACACTGGAGCTGAGAAGGATTAAGACTTGCCTCAGCTCGTGAAGCTGGGGTTTGAACCACGACCCCATCTTGCCTCGCAGACCTGGGTTGGGGTTTTGTGAATTCTTGGGTCAGGGACTCACAGCCTCTGAGCTTCCGTCCTGTGTCTGCGAAAGTGTGGCCCTGTGATGAGCACTTTGTAGCATGTCATTTGGTCTTCGTTTCAGTTAGCTCATTCTGGTCCCTTTTCGGGATCCACAATGCCAATGACATGGCCTCATTGTTTCTCCTCTGTCCCCACCCCACCCACCAGATTTGGCATCATTCTTTCTACAATGAGCTCCGCGTTGCCCCTGAAGAGCATCCAACCCTGCTCACAGAGGCACCCCTGAACCCCAAGGCCAACCGGGAGAAAATGACCCAGGTAAATATGCATCTTGTCTTCCAGCACTTTGGGGTTTGGGGACAGTCCTGTTAGAAAGAGGCTGTGCAGGACAGCAGAGGGAAGGCCCCAGCCAGCAGGGCACCAACAGACTGACAGCATACCAGGGCCTCGGGGAGCCACAGGGCAGACACACCTTCGCTGTGGTACTCACCGCCTACTGTGAGCCAGTTTTTGCCTCCAAGAGCAATAGGGAACGTGAGAGACTGAATTAAGAAGGGCACATGTTTAGGTTCAACACTTACAAAGAGAAGTTATTTCTAAGTGCAGTGTAAAGTGAGAGGAGAAATGTTGGTTCTGAAGTCAGGCAGAGTTAGGTTTGAACACTGGATCTGTTGCTTATCAGTTATGTGACCTGACAGGACCCATTTGAATCTCCTAGCACCTCCATTTTCCTGCCTGTAAGTTGGGAAGAATATTGGTGTTGCTATTTTTCAAGGATTGACATAAGCTATTATTTTCAAGGTTGGTAAGGCAAAATGATAAATGTGTATCATGACTCCTGATGTGATAAACATTCAACAATAATGTTGCTATTGGTGTTGCTGCAGACAAATCTCAGAACGGGGCTAATCCTAACCAGCCTGAGCTTCAAGGTTTTTGAAGTTATTAAGTCTTTTTTTTTTTTTTTCTGTCTTTCTTTTTACTATGAGCAAGAGAGAAAAAGAGGCAACAATGTCTTTTTTCAAGAATTGACATAAGCTATTATTTTCAAGGTTGGTAAGGCAAAATGATAAATGTGTATCATGACTCCTGATGTGATAAACATTCAACAATAATAGTGATTATTGTCACTTTTGTTCCTTGTCTGAAGTGTAAGATTTTACAGAAGGAGTCCAGTCTACCAGCCAGACAATATCTATAATGTCAATTCCACATTCTCTATGGCAAACACTGGGTTAATCATTTTACCTACACTGTCTCTTTAAATGCTACCAGTGTGAACCAGAAACTATTATCATCTTGATTATATAAACCAGTCAGGGCTCCCATGCATTAAGTGGGCACACAGCTGAAAGTGGCAGAGCCCGGCACTCACCCACAACCTGACAGCCTTCGAGAGTCATAATGTAAATACCGCAGGGCCTTTCCCTCCGAAGCTCTCTCGGTCTCTCACTGACACACCAGCAGTGATTTTCCACAGGGGGGTGTCTGTCCATCTAGCCAAAGATGTTTCTAGTGACAGCATCCCTCTGGACAGCGTGGAGGCAGCACAATGGTTGGAAATTCTGGCTGGCTGGCGGATGGTGTTAGACATTCTGGGTCATAGATCAGGAAGGATTTTGTGGATGGGGAAATGACAGTCGGGATATTTCTGGATGCATACACTTCTCACGAGGGAGCTGGAGAACACTGGTTCTAATCCTGCCCCTGGACTGCATGAGCTGAGGTGTTGACATTCAGATGTGGTCCTGGCACCAGCCGGCGGTTTCTGCCTTCCAGGAATGAGGGCCCCTCTCACTCCAGCCAGAGTGGCTTCAGGCTCCAGGCCAGCCTTGACTCGGCAGTCATGTAAAAAAGTGGAACAGAGGAAATGGAATGGCAGACAAATCTCAGAACGGGGCTAATCCTAACCAGCCTGAGCTTCAAGGTTTTTGAAGTCATTAAGTCTTTTTTTTTTTTTTTTCCTGTCTTTCTTTTTACTATGAGCAAGAGAGAAAAAGAGGCAACAGGGTCTTAATGTCACAATTTACTCCTAGATCTAGCCAACCCTGGTTCTTGGGCATATGCCTGGAATACCCAGGGAGGTCTCTGGACATGACTCTGGAGCCTTCCCATGTGGGTCAGCCTTGCGGCGTGTGGTGTTACCACTATCCCACTGTTTGCCCTCCCAAGAGGGTCACTTCCTTTATACTAGAGGAATTGAAACTTGGCTGTTGTCTTTCTAATTAATTAATGTTTGGCTTTGATGGAGTTAAAAAGTCTTAAACTATCCATGGTGAAGAGCCCGAGGGCTCATTGAGTCCAGGGTCTTTCTCTGTTCATAGTTGAGACCTAGAGCGAGGCTCGCATTTGTCAGCTCCTAGCTGGGGCATTCTCCCTGGTCACATGCAAGTCAGAGCCAGGGTCAGAAGCTAGCTCCTCCTTTTTTTCTGGCTGGTCTTGTGTGCATCGGCCTCCTCCCTTCCCGATCCCATGAGGTCACCGATGTGATCTCCACACCTTCCATTTCTCCTCTTCAGTGGCCAGGGCTGCCTTGGCCATGCCTTCCCTTGGTCCCCTTTGCCCAGAACCAGGCAGGCCCATCTGCATCCACTGACGAAGTGCACGTTCGGTGGAAGGCTGCCAGTCACTGACTTGACTCTTTGGGTATCTTTGCAGATCATGTTTGAGACTTTCAACGTCCCCGCCATGTATGTGGCTATTCAGGCAGTGCTGTCCCTCTACGCCTCTGGACGTACAACCGGTAGGTGGCTGAGAGGAATAGGGAGCCTGGATTGAACACGGTGCCAGTGATGGGATGGGGTGGTCACACACGTGACTTGTGATGGGCGGGGAATATGTCGTAGTTAACAGCTGACTCTAGTCCTAAAAGCCTTCGCCTCGCCAAATGAGTCCTGGACTTCATATTTCTAGGAGTTTTTCTATTGCTTTCCTCTTCCTGCTCCTCCTATTTCCATCTTCCCCAAGCCTTGTCCTACCTCATTTCTCCCACCAAATGCCTCTTTCCTCCATTCAAATACGAGGCATGGAAATCTCCCCTCCTTCCAGCCTCCTTCTCCTAGACCAACATGTGACCACGCACCAGCTAATGTGATGACATTGATCATGCCACTTCTCCCCAGGAATCGTGCTGGACTCTGGAGACGGCGTCACCCACAACGTGCCCATCTATGAGGGCTATGCCCTGCCCCACGCCATCATGCGTCTGGACCTGGCTGGCCGTGATCTCACCGACTACCTCATGAAGATTCTGACCGAGCGTGGCTATTCCTTTGTGACAACCT